AACTTCATTTCCATATCTATAAAGAAGAACAGATTGTTCATTCGAAAACTTACCTCTTGTCGATATCAGTGCATTGTGCTCGACCTTGAGCAAAGGGAACTTTATCTCAGGCTCCACGATTTGCTTTGGTTTCTCCAATATGTGGTCATCCGTGGGCAACGGCTCATCTATCTTTGCATTAGCTATCAGACGTTTTATGTCCTCGACATCATTGTTGATGACATTTAAATCTGGGCTGAGATCCTTTTCTTGCACTTGAGTCACAGTATTGGCCTCCATGACAGTATCTATGGTCTAATAGTGATGCGCAAGTCAATGATCAAACTATCACACTGATAGTATATATGAATTACAGATATTAGTATTTATGAACTATGAGTCTGTGACAGATGTTATAAAACTTTTTGAAAACGACTGTGATATCGAACTGTGTTACTATGATCGAAATACCACCTTTCACAACAGACTCCAAAGCCCATCGTAGAGAGGGCGGAGCGTTACATATATTTCAATTTTGCGATAAATTTAAAACTAAAAAAAGCACCAGTCGACACTCGGCTGTCGCTGGTGTGATATTTATTTATGATTATGATATCATTGATATGATATGATATCGGGGGTTCATGAATGCAGCAATGGTTTTATACAGGCGTGCTCCATTGGTCAACAACTGTGAAACTATAAAAGCTATTGGTGGCTTTTCTCACTTTGATCTGGAATCCTTTTTCTACAAAGTACCGAACTTGTGAACAGTGCAGACCGGCAAAATGTACGATAATGGATTTGATGTCCGTTTTTTTTAATTCCCCTAAATCCGTTACAGGGTTCAACAGGTGTCGGATGCAAGAACCGCGCGTAATAGGCGGTGTCCGGTGATCCGTGTCAAGCGTTAAAGCTGATGTGTCCAAGAGCGTTAGAGCTTATGTATTGCAATGTCGTTTAGAAAGTCGCGCGAACCTTCCGGTTCTGATGGCGCACGTCCCGTACCGACGAAATCGAAAAGCACTGCTGGTGATAACATAAAGGTAGTCGTGAGGGTGAGGCCGCTACTTAAAGACGAGGTATGCATGTACTATCACGACCAACCTTTTATTGACTATGACGCTCGGTTAAGAATAATTTGTTTCGACTACTATTTGACATTCTGAGAGACTGACATTTGATCTGGATATGGCGAATATCGTGTCTAGAGATGTTTATTTCTCCGGCCAAGGCTTGTTAGCGAGTGAGCGGGCATAATTATAAAATATACAACACACGCACATAAAAATATTTTTAATCATACAACGAGACGAATTTATCTGGTTGCAATGAATATACATTTGTATATAGTATTATCATTATCCTTAATATTATTATTATCATTATCATTATCATTATGATTGTTGTTATAGATGTATATATATATGTGTGTGTGTGTGTGTATTGTATATATGTAAACGTTGTTTTTTGTGTCTGTATATGTATGTATGTTTGCATATATGTATATGTATGTATGTATGTATATATCTATGAATATTTGTCAGTATATATGTCTGTATGTATATATCCACGCATATTAGTATGTATGTATGTACGTATGTATGTATATATATATATGTGTGTGTGTGTATGTATGTATGCATGTATATATATATATACATGTATATATGTATGTATATGTGTACATATGTATATATATATATACAAAAATGTATGTGTGTGTGCATGTATATATATGTATATATATATATATATATATGTATTTATATATATATATATATATATATATGTGTGTATATATATATATATATATATATATATGTATTATATATATATATATATGTGTGTGTATTTATATATATATATATATATATATATATATATATATA